CCATCTCATTTTTAATTAGTTAGGATAGGATATTTATAGTACTAACCATTATGTTATGACTCCTTTTTGCCACTTCTCCTCATATTCTTTGTTTAATGTATTTTGTTTGTCTCTTTATTTTTTATTACTGCCTTTGGGGGGAATGATCTATTGATTTACAAATTTTTCACTGTCTTTTTATTCTCATAGTGGTTGCTTTTAAGTATAGACCAGTATTCTCAGCCAAGGTTAATTTTTACTCCTCAGGAAATATTCGGTATTGTCTGGAGACATGTTTGGTTTTGGATTATAGGAGCAGCTACTGGCATCAACTGAGTAGAACCCAGGAATGTTAGTCAACATCCTACAAAGCACAGAATAACTTCATCATAAAAATAATTGTCCAGCTTGTCATGGTGGTGCATGCTTGTAATCCCAACACTCTGGGAGGCTGAGACAGGAGGATCACAAGTTTAAGACTAACCTGGACAATTTAGCAAGTTGAAGTTTCCTTTAACCATTTCTTTGTTCTGAATTTTGTAGAAGTAGCTATCCACCCAAAGATATATCAGTAGTGCCAACATTAAAAAGCCCTGAGCAATTCTCATTTATTTTCCACTATTGATTTCTTAACCTTAGCAATACCTCTTCTTCTAAGAGTCTAAGTAGCTCAGCCAGGATGATTTCATATTTCTTTGATCTTCAGGGCTCTTGTTTTCCGTGGACATTTTTTTTCATCCTCTAAATTCCTTCACCTTTCTTGTATATTTTCTACCTTTTTTATTCTTGAATGCCTTCTCAGCGAGATCCAGCTTCCCAATCATTTTTCACAGAATTCACACACCAGAGTGGGACAAAAGCAGCCATAACCATTCTTCTTCCTCCTCTTCCTCCTCCTCCTCTTCTTCTTCTTCCTCTTCCTCATCCTTCTTCTTCAGTGCTGCTTTCAGCTCTTGAATAACTGAAAGTTTTCCTTTACCCTAGGCACACTATTAGAATACAGAAGAGCTGGTGCCCTATTTCTTAATTAAGGCAGAAACAGAATCCTTGTATTCAAAGAAGCAACATGAAGGAAAAACCACAGAAGGGAGAAAGGGACACCAGCTTTTAGAACCTTCCCTGCCATTTTATCCTTAGAGTCCCTTTCTAGTATGAGACAGCAGAGCTTCTACATCATTGGCTCAGCTGGGAAACGTGAGCAGATTCTCTCCTTTCCTGCTGTTAAACAAATGCACAATGGATGACTCCTTAGACATCTTTCCAAGGTTTCATTATCAGAAGGCATGGAAATCATGAGTTACTCTGAGAAGTGAAAGCCATATTGTATTTTCTCTGATGAGCTCAGGAGATCTGGTTACTGGCTTGCCCGTTCTACTTTTAACAGTGATAGCATTTTTCTTGTCCCCTCTGTGAACAGTTACTTATGCAAACCATTGCTATAGTATTTTGAAGACTAATCAAGAGAAAACACTTTTTTCATTTCTTAGGTTTGTTTGTTTTTGGAAGCTTCACCAGAATTGTCTGATTAAAATTTTAGTAATCTGGAAGGATACTTTCAGTGTTATCAACTATGGAGCAGGAGATAGGATTGTACACACCACAAGAAATAAGCATCATCCAGTGCATTCTGAGGGATTAAATACATCTCTTTGTGTTCTGTAGAAAATAGGAAATGCCCAAATTTTAAATAGCACTGGCATAAGTTAATGTCTCGAGTTATTATTAATGCTTTTGTTCATTAAGTATCGTGGGGATTTAAAATAGAAGAGCCTATTTTTAGTGCAGACTATAAACAGAAATAGCTGCTTATTAAGATGCCCGATGCTATTCTGAGATAGCTGCCTGTAATTGTTCATTTAATCCTCACCACAAAATTTTAAGGTTGGTCCTAATATTATCTCCATTTTGCAGTGAAAATGAGAGACAAAGGGATTAAAGAAGCTGCCTACATCATAGGTAAATGATAGTAGATGTAACTGGGGTGTAAATGTGGTTTCCACAAAGAGATTCCTTCCCTTTGACAACACTGAGCCAAGTCTCCAGGTAAAGAGCCTGAGAAATGCCATTCTACATCCTGTGGACAACAAGAGTGGTTTGGGCTCCAGAATCCACTCATGTCCTCTCCTCTCCCCAAGTGCCTTTGTCCAGTGCAGAACCTGGTCCACTGGGAATTACACTTCCCAGATTCCTGTTCAACCAGGTCCTGGATAAAAATTTGTTTTCTTCATTTAGCTGCCCCTGCACAAAATTGGGAAGTGAAATGTGAGGATCTTCCTGGCCAAATATGCTGTTGAGAAATGGAGCTTTTCTCCAGCAGTGTTATGTATCCCCTCGCTAGATTCCTGGGCAGTGATGTGGCTGTGGCTATAACCTACTCCATTGCTGCTGGCTGGTCACCATCTTTATGGGAAGAGAAGCAGCTTTGTGGATAGGACAACAGCTGCTCTCCAGAGCTGTCCTCCACAGGTTTCAGGATGGCCTTTCTCAGTGAGACACAGGCAGAAGTCTTATTGGGAGCCAGTTAGGTAGGGTTATTATGGGGGCCTTTTCCAGAGGCCCAACCCACAGCCCATCTTTCCAGTAGTGAATTCCCTTCATTAAATTTACTTCTGCACAAAATATGTAGACACGCTCTGCAGCTGACGTGTCCAATCCATTTGGATTTCTAGGCAAAGAAACTAGTAACTCACCAAAACAGTGATGATAAATACCTTGCAAAAGAGGTTAACTTCTCAGGATAGCTGATCCAGGCAAGAATAGAGACGGTTCTGTTTTCTTCTTTGATATTTGTTATTAAATATTATTATTATTAGCATCAGGGATGGGAGTATTTATGGACTAATAGCCAAACCTTAAAAATGTGTCCCGCTTAAGTGTGTACAGCAAAATATATCTTTTCCTCTTGAAAAATGTTCTATTTTGCCATTTTTATTAGTTTTGTTTTGTTTTGTTTTTACTGGTTCTATCTACTCATCCCATTCTTTTCTTGTTCATGTTCCTGTGGTTCCTTCACACTTAATCCATTTTTATACTTTCTCCATCCTAATGAAATTGCCTGTTTTCTTTAATAAATTCTCAGGCATATTAGAGACTCCTTAAGAATTCATGGCCTGCACTGTTGGTCAATGTATCCCCCACGCAGTGCTTACAACATAGCTAAGTACACAATACAAATTATCTCATACAGAAATGAACACCCACACCTTTTAGGCATCACAGTATGTGAACACTTGACTGTGATTATTTAGGTGATCTGAGTAGATAAACTTAGGGAAATACCACCTCTTAGAGAACTGCAATAATGAGGGAAATTTCTACCTCAATATGAAACCTTACATCTGTCCTGAAGGCCCAAGGAGCTAAGAAAATATTGTGCTTCTTGCAGAAATGAGGCAATTATGGTAAAGGATATGTTATGGAGTTGTCTCAGAAGCCCAGACTGGGCTGTGAGCACACACTGCGTATATAAAGACAGGCAAGTTTTATAAACAAATGACTTTCCAAAGGATGCAAACAGTTCTTGCTTTAATGAAGCAGAAACAATACTGCTCGGTCCGGTCATCTTTACAAAGAGAGGGCATCCAAAACTGTACCATCGACATGGCAGGTCACAAGTACATTTACTGGATGTCTACTTTACTCCTCCTCTATAAGGCTGAAGTTATAACTGCCCCTCACTTTGCTGATGGGGAACCCAGAGTTGGCTTAAAGCTCAGCCCTTTCTGAATTTCCTCACCACCTGTCTTCTCAGTCCAGCTGGATGCAGGATGTGGACCACAGGTTCTCTCAGGAGGTAAAATGGCAACCACAACTATTTCTCTGCCTAGGGATCGGGGGTTCTGGGCTGCCCTCAGAAATCCTTGCTAAAATTGTCCCTCGACCTCTTATGCTGCAAATGAACTCTCAAAACTTACTTTTCCCGACAGCCTCAGATCCAGCTATCTCAGCTGATTACTTTCCTGGGAAGTGGAAACTGTAGGGGCCCACAGCAGATCAAGATAAAATGTGTATCTCTGCCTTCATCTGCACTGAAAGAGTAGGGTCTGAAATCAGAGAGGTAAAAGTGACTTGGGTCTTCTAGGATCTGTCCTTTCCAAGAATACAGCTCTTCTCTGTGGGCATCAGTTTTAAGATGGAGATCAGTGGGTTGCAAAGTGCTGAGAAGAGACACACCAAGGGCAAAAGCGTATAGTCACCCACCAGCGGAGCAGGGTATCCAGGCAGCAGCTGTACCCACCCAACACTCCAACACTCACCTTCGTTTTCTGACCCTGTGGCTCTTCTCACCCTTCTGCACTTTCTGACCACCCTGTTGGCCTCCTTCCTTATCCCTATCAGTTACAGCACCCTGTTTTCTTTTCCTTCAAATCTCTTATCACAAGCTACAATGATACTTTTTTTTTTTTTTTTTTTTTTTTTTTTTTTGCTTAGCTGTTTGTAAGCTCTAGTTCAGAAAATACCATATTGATTTCACCCAAGAACACAGCCCCAGCAGCTTCCCTGGTGCCTTGTAAAGCATGAGTCTCAACTGGAATGAACAAGTGACTGAGTTTATGAAGGGATTAATGAATGAGTTTCTTGTGGTGCCTAGAGAAGAGATGGTACAAAGTGGGGTCTATAAGAACAGGACTCCAGATGGGAAGAGTGATGGGACATTTTCTTGATGTCCTATCTTCAGTCTCAAATGGGGGAGCTTTAGGAGGAACACTTTCATGCTGAAACTTTATACATTAAGAAGCATTAAAAAGTGAAATGAACTGTCAACACAGTGATTAGCTCTGGTTTTGAAGGTGTTCAAGAGCCAGTTAGATGACCACTAGCCAGTAGTGTCAGACGGGGAGAAGGGTACAGTCCTGCTGGTGTCCTCAGATGTTCCAGCTCTCTGACTCTGATTCCAGGTGCCTTTTTCTTCTGTTGAACTGGGAATGGCTTTCATATCCTTTGCTCTTTTCTTTTTGTCCTCTAAATATATTGTTGACTGATACATTTCTCTGCATTTCTTTCTCCTTTTGTGGATATAGATGAAGTCTTGTCTGAAAACTTTCTGGACTATAAGAACCGTGGAGTCAATGGTTCTCATCGGGGACAGATCATCTGGAAGATTGATGCCAGCTCTTATTTTGTGGAACGTGAGTAGTTTTACCACTTTTGTTGCCCAGAAGATATAGCAGAAGCAGGATTCAATTGCTTTATTCTTTGTTCTGATGGATAATCACCTCTTAAAAATGCACCACATAAAAGAGAGAGGTAGATTTAATGATACCTTTAAGAAGATTTTTAGGAATGAGTAGTGAGCTCTAAAAAAGTTGAGTAATAGTCATCCAAACCAGTCTAGAGGACCAGTCCTTTATTACCAAGCCTTATTATCATAAGCCTCTGGACTTAGGACTCTTGATTTTCTCTCCATGGCTCCTCCAATTGGTCCCAAATTTTGTCATAGTTGAGACCAAGTCTTCTCAGCAAATATCCTGTCTTTCAGTTTTGCTTTTGCTTGACCCATTCTTTTGAGGCTCCTTACCCATGGCCCCAGCACATTGGTAACATTACACATTTTCCCCTTGACTGTCACCACTATGCTGAAAGATGGGGATGATAGTGGTATCTACTACAAGCCTTACTGATCTACTCACATTTTTGTGTGTATAAACTTGGTTCCCTGTATTTTACTGAAATATTTTTAAAGATCTTCTTCCATCTTTGAAAATAAGTCATTTTCATAGATATGGCAGAATTTTTTTCCATTGGTCACCATATTTGTATATTTCTCATTGCATGAGGAATACCTATATAGACCTCATGTTTGCCAGCTGAAGGAATGCACACATGACCTTTAGTTCACAAGTCCCTGTCTTCTACATGAGTATGAGAGAATGCTTCCATAGGAAACTGTTTCATGCACTTTAGGTCTTAGCAGTTATTTATTCATTCAGGATAGCAGGTCTGAAAGAAAACGGAATATTCTGTTGTTTTAGGAGCCCAGTTTTCAGAGGAGAGATAGATGTGGAATTTGGAGTTATCACTGTAATTTAACTTATGAGGCAAGAAAAACTATATTCTCTAATATGTTTTATTTTCATTTTCGTTCATTCTCATTTTCATGTATTCACTTGATAAACATATTGTAAGACCTACTGTGTTCCAGGGACTGCCAATTTGAAGATGAAAGGCCCCTCGTCTGCCCTCTAGAGACTTACAGTGTCTCTGCTCCCAGCAGTAACACTGTCTTAGTTACTTTCCTGTTGCTGAGACAAAATATCCAACACTGACAACTTAAAGGCGTAGAGGTTTTGGCTCACGGTTTTAGCCCATGATCAGCCATTCCAAGGCAGAAACAACATGGTGCAAAGGTATATCAGAAGAAAAAATTCTTAGCCCATGACAGCTAGAAAGCAGAGAGAGAAGAAAAGAGACCAGGAAGAAAATATACCCTTCCAGGTCAAGCCTCCAGTGACTGCTTCCAACCAGGCCTCCTCTCCTAACAGCACGTTTGGCTTCTGAACTCCTCAATGGGTGAATTCACTGATGACTACAGCACGCATGCTCCAATCACTTCCACACACGGGAGAACTGGGGGAAGGGGGATTTTAGTTCTAAACTATGACAAACACTAGTACACCTTTTTGTGTTGGCTCATGCAGAATGAATAAACAACAAAGAAATGTATGCTATTGGTTTGTAGAGTGGGGACATGATTTCATGAGATGTGGTTGTAAGACAGATGTAATATATTTCCTAACAAGAGAGTTCTTTTTCCTTAGTATATGTCTCCCTGGCTTTAGCTTTTTTCCCTCTAATCCACCTCCACACTCATGGCAGACAAAATTCCTCAAACCAATTCTGCTACCATCTTCCCCAAAGCATCCTGGCTCCTTCCCACTGCATTACCTGAAACCTCTCTGTGCAGCTGTCGAGGCCCAGCATAAAGTCACCCTCATCCCTAGGTCTCTATGTCCCCAACAGAGTGTTTTTCCCTAGTCATCCCAGCCCCCCTCTCAACAAACAGCATCATTTAGCAAAAGGAACATCAGCTCGGCTTTGGTATAAAGATGGCTACAACAAGCAGATAATACAAGCTCCTAAATCCCAGTAAAAGAAAAGGATAAGCACTTGAATTAGCAATGATTGCTCAAGATCATGTTAATGGTACACACTAATTTATATTGGAAGTTTGTGAAAGACTTTTTCCTTTCCTATTGTGTGCCTATTTTGTTCCTTGAGTTATAATTAATTTAGAAATAGGCACAGGCACGCAATTTAAGGCCAAAGTACAATAGCAGCAAATTTGTATTATAAATTAATAAACCAATAATACCATTCCCTTCAAGGCAGTCTTCAAGGATTTCTATGAAATTTTCCTCTACATTTTGATCATATAAGTACCTTTAATGTTTTATTGGTACATTTCTTTGATCATATAATATCATATGAGTACTCCTGTCTCCTCCCCCAAGTCAATGAAAAAAGGCAAACTTGTTTTATAAATTAATTTATCAATCGTGCCATTCCCTTCAAGGAAGTCTTTAAATATTTCTATGAAATATGAACATTTTTCTGTACGTTTATCTCAAATAAAAGATTACCTCATAAACTTGTCTTTCAGCAGCAGCATGAAAAACATTTTAAATTTTTAGGAAAGACATTAGAGTAGAAAACCAACTCTGTGAAATGCATAAAAATAGTCATAATTGAGTGTAATTGTATTCAAATTTGGTGAAGGAGCAGTACCTTATGAAAAAACACATGGTTTGCAAAGGATGTGTTCAAGATAACTGAGAGTTGAACATGCTGGAAAGATGGTATTTTTTAAATGTCCTTGTGAAAATTTTGAGAATGTTCTGGTCTTTAGGATGCTTACTGGAATAGCAGTGTCTCATTGTTTTGGGAAAATGGATGAAAGTAAAATGAAAAGGGTGTACATTTATCTCTTACATCTATATCAAATGAATGACCAACACATTAAGCGGGCATTATTCTATACTAGTGTATTAATTTGCCAAATTACACAAATTGACAAATTTGTCAGAAGTAAAACATTCGCCAAGACAAAGCTTAAGTGAGGTTGCAGATGACTAGAATATTAACTCAGGTCCCACACCCAAATCAAATAAATTAAAATGTTACAGTGAATTATAGTTTAAGGAATCTGAATGTACTAAAATTGTACATTATATGTTATAAAAGTTTATATTTTTAATGTATAATATTTTGCATTTTTAAAAAATGTGCATGATAGGCAATGCCAAATTAACAAGTAGGAAGAGCTTGGGAGTTCAAAAGGTTCTGATATCTCTGTCTTTTATTAGTGCATTAAGGCACCAAAGGTCTTCTGACTACAGTAAAAACTCAGAATCCAGGCCATTATGTGGAAGGTTACAGACATTTTTGTTGTGATCTAAAAATAAGATTCTTTGCAGACTCTTGGCAGAGATAAATGCATAATCTAATTGGTACACTATAGTCTTTTAAAATTAAAAATAATTTTACCAGCGTTGAACATTGGCCAGACTTCAAACATTCAAATACAACAGAAGGTCACTCTTTCTACCTTGGGATTAAATTAAAATAATAACATAAAGTGAAATTTTCCTTTCCTTTTTGTCCTCAATATTTTCCCTCTATTATTTTTTTAATGAGAGTGGAGATGTATTGCATATGACTTGAAGTCTATAATGTTTTAATAGTACATTTCTTTGGGGGCTATGATTCAATTTAGAAGCAAGCAATTGCTATTGATTCATACTATTTTTTAAATGACCTGACTAATCAGATTTTGAAAATACTGCTAAATAAGAAGTATTCTAAACAGACATTTTCTACATTCTCCAAGGAATTACATACAGGATAAAATATCAAAGACTATGAAGCCTGCACCATTTCCTCTTCTATGCCATGATCTTTCCCTAATGGGCACCTGGTATTTGACTATAGTAATAATGCTATAAGACAGTAGAGATGCAAACTTAACACTGATAAAAGAATGAACAGGTAAAATCTTAACTTTACCCATCATGATAAAATTTTACCATGGTATACTGTTATAGTCATTCAAATTTTTTTTTCTGGTACTGGGGATTGAACCTAGGATCTTCACACTGACTGACACCCCCAGCCCTTTTTTATTTTTATTTTGAGATACAGTCTCACTAAATTGCTAAGTTGATCAAGATGGGTTCAAACTTGCAGTCCACCTGCCTCAGCCTCCCAGAGTGCTGAAACCACAGATGTGTGTTACCATGCCCAGCTTCAATGATAAGCTTTTAACAGCTGCAGTTTGGCTCACCTGGCCAGCCTCAAGCATTCAGGAGCTACCATCATCCATGCCCAAGGTGTGATCTTATCAGGATGGGGCCTGGGTTAGCCAGAAACACTGAGAAGGTGAGGTTATCCTGAGAGAAAGGCACCCTTGTCCTGACCACTGGCTCAAGTCTGCTCTGTATCTCCCCGTTCATCAAATTCCAATGGGAAGAACTGATCGGTTTGGTTGGAACCACTACTGACTACATGCAGAGGACCCAGGGCTTCCTTCTCTTCCCACTGCCATATGCCAGTCAGTTCCAGTCACTGCCCTCTCACAGCTGCCAGGTGGAAACGAGAGGCTGGAGCAACATGACTGGGGTGGGCTCCTCAGCGTCCTAACCCTGGACAGCACTGCCCATCCTCTGACCCGTCCTCACCTCCCAGGGTGAATTTCTGACCTAGATTCACACCTGTTTATCAGAAGAACATCCCTCAGACCCCTTTCCAGTGCCTTCCAAATCCTTTTCTCTCATGCCTTCTGTCAGTCCCTCTAGCTGCCACTACAAAATGTTTTAGACTGGATCAGTGACACAGGATAGAAATGTATTTCTCACATTTCTGGAGCTTGGGAAATCCAGCATCAAATTGCCAGCAAATTTAGCCTCTTTACAAGACAGCCTTTTTGCTGTGTCAGAAAAGGTTAAAGGGGATAGGGCACTCCCTTCAGCCTCTGGTTTTGCAGATGGGGAGTGTGTTTTGGGTTTTTCAGACAGTGTCCCCTTGTGTAGTTGAGGCTGCCTTTGAACTCACTATGTAGCCCAGGATGGCCTCAGATTTATGGTGATCTTGCTGCCTCAGCTTCCCAAGTGCTGAGATTACAAGCATGTGTCAT